AATAAATAAATAAATAAATAAATAAATAAATAAATAAATAAATAAATTACTGTACTTCAAATTTGATGCTGGTGAAATTACGGGACATGGGTTTGACAACTTTTGTCTCAGGGTAACGGGCGCAGTGGCAGTGACCCTCAGATCGTTGTGATTTTAAACTCTGAGTGGCACTGCAACTGTTATGGACAGGCGTGTCGCTTACCACCAGGCGCATCACTTGTTCTTTCCGTCATTTGGTACTATAAAAAAACCTTGAAAGCGTTTTTATCACATGGAAGTCATAAATAAATATAAATTGCATAAACAAATTATATTTATTTAAAATTATTTATCTCTTCTATTTAAGCATAATAAAAATTGTCGACTAATTTCATTTGTAGAATCTTTAAACCTGTCTACTGAAAAGTTATCATTTCACTGATGTGACTTCATTACACCAAGGGTTCGAATTTGAATCATCTCTCTAGCCTAATAATGATAACAATAATAATAATGTGTCAGACCACCACACCATTTGCCTGGTCTCAAACTAGGGATGTTCCTATACTATGAGTACCAGAGCAACGGAATTCACTTTAGGTCACTTTCCAGAGCACTCAGACCAGAACCAATTCAGAAAATAAATCCCAAAATGGTCCTACCGGGAATCGAACCTAGGACCTCCGGCATCCAACACCCACATATCGTTAGGGCACCAAGGTCATAATTAGTAAAAAGGCGTAACGTATTAAATTAATCAATCTAATCAAGCACGTTTGTCCAGGAACAGGTCAGAACAAAGCTTCCCACTTCCATTGTCTGAAGTGCGACTTCGTGTGTACAGACACGAACAAAGTTGTGGCACATCGTCGACAGCACCAGAAACTCGACTCTATTCAAGCAGCTGGCTTCGATAAGTTCCCACCTAGTAAAGGTAGGTTGAATACTACTGGGTCCATACTAAAATGGTAGTCCTATAATTACTAGTCATGTTTACCGCCAGGTAATTTGGCATTGACAATTATTGCAATCCTAACTTTACCTCGAAGATACTTTAAAGGTGATTGTCCACCAGTGAGGCGAGACGATGTATGGAATTGGTATGGCAAAATTTCAATTCTATCCTAGCGCATCAACTATCCGGATTGACAAAAATGTGCGAAACGAGAATAGAAATATTTGTTGGTGTAATATTGAACCGTCTTGTTGCTTACACAGAGTGTTTATTTACACCGCAACGGAAACACACGTACTATTTAAGATTTTTTTTAAATTCTGCAAATAATTGCATCGTGTCCTGCAGTTGAATTTTTTTAATTTATTGATTAAGTAATTTTCTCCATTAAGTTTCCAATGTTTTTATTTTACTATCCACAACCTCAGCGCCAGCTCGCGATAGCTATTAATAGCAATTTTTTGTGGAAATAGGCCGGCGATATTTCATTTTTCGTCTTGCTCGTCTCGGCGCGGGGAAGCTTTTCCACCTTACCTTTATACAATAAACAACAACTCGGTGCTGATCGCTTTTTTAATTTATTTTTATGTTAGTTAGAAATTCCAACACTTATGAAAACCTACGTAATTCGTTTAATACTAACAACTAGTTAAACTAAACACAAATAATGAATCGTATAAAGATACGTGAAATAAATGATTTTACAATAAAGAAATAATAAACAGCCTAGCCTGTCTAGCAAAGATAAAACTTAAGTAAGTAAGAATACAAATTGAATAGAATGAAACATTTTTTTTCAGGTTGTGGCTACGAACCCCAATGCATTCATAGCAAGAAACAAACACATTACCACTGCTTACAGTGCGGTTTTGCCGTCCTGGGTCTATCTCAGATGACATCTCACAAGTACAAACACCAGGAAGCGAACCTTGGACCATCCACAAGCGCTACTAACTGACAAGCAACTCTACATATTATGGGGATATTCAAACGTATACGAAATGTAGTGTGTGTCATAATTTAATGTAGAGTGACACAAAAATTATGTGATTATGACTTATAATAATTATGACAAAATTATGTGATGTTATGGATAAAACAAATTATGTGGAATATTTCTGTGATGTCCCACTAATTATGACTCTGATAGATGTCCTGCTATGACAAATGTAGAATAGTGCGGAAAATTATAACTATGACAAATATGTTACTAATGTGTTGTCCCTCGAAATTGTGCCTTAGATGCAAACTGGGGTTTATTTTTTACGACTAGATTAACTGTAGTTTTCATACTAAGCCCCTCATCAGATTAATTGTGTGGCAAAGTATGTGCCAAATTATGAGTAATGAGAGTATGTTGGAAGTAAATGAGTACGACAATACGATTTTATGGGAGATATAATTAATGCATGATGTAACTTATGTGTTGATTTCTTTTCAAAGGCGTGAGAAAAAGTGTTTATTAATGACTTTGTAATAAAGTGATCATTAAATTTATGTGAAAAGTGTTTAGAAATGCATGTTAATTTAAATCTAATGTGTGTATTTCCTACATCCTGACCAATCTTAGAAATTAGTTTATATAAAGTATTTATATTTATTACTTCCCCTTGAAAAAGACATTTTTACGAATAGTATTATTAATTTAGATTTCATAAAAAAATAAGGCAATAAAAATTGGGTTAGGAACACCATTTTGTGCCTGAAGGGTTAAAATTCATGACAATATGATTTTTGCGATGACCTTTAACAATATGATCAGTCCTAAAGAACTGCCAATTATGCAAAAACTAATAAATGTTTAAATAAAATATCGCAAAAATCTCTAGTAATTATAACAATTGAAATCAAAATATATTTAATAAAAAAAATATTTAAAAGTGTCAATTCTATAAACAAAAACCTTGTAAATAAGATTAGTATATATATCGAAAATTACTATGTTAATAAAATGTAATTGTTATATTGGTATAAAAAAATATAATGTATAAAAAATCGGACATAAGTTAAAAACAAATGTGCTAAATGATTCATGAGGTAGCCATGCCATAATTGTGTAGAAATATTCAGTATTACAAAAATCAGATCCTGTACCTTGTGCATTCCTTTAAAATTCCCGGCTGCTCAACCATTCCCAGTGATAATTTTAGAGCTTCTGTAACTACTTAACGTTATATACGTATATACTAAAAGTTTATTTATATAAATAGTCTAAAAGAAAAATGTACTACATATTTCATTACAATTACAATAACAATAAAAATTGTTTTCTAATTTGAGTTTCTTGTGCTCGTAGATAATAGCAACAGATTCATTGGCAAATAAAATAATATTTTTGAGGTACATATTTTACATAACATTACATTTTATTCCACACTCAGAATATAATTAGAAGAAACTTTTCGAATATCATAAATATAACTATGACAACAAATCCAAAGGACAATGATCCAATTTGTCCAATTGTCGCGTACCACAGTTACGCATAATTATAATTATGACAATGTTTCAGACGTTGGTTGTCAAGTAATTAAAAATTATAATTATGACAAAGTTTCTGACGATAGTTGTCGAGTGATTAAAAATAAATTGTGTGATCAAACCGTGTCCTTTCCTAGCTCGTATCAGTATTTGTTGGCTTAAGCTCTGTCCTGTTGTTCCTAATTTTTAAAAACTTTCCATAAAGGTCTCCACGTGACATATCGTTCCTTTACGACAAACACTAATAATAATAATTTTGACATAAACATATTATTTGCATGCCATATATTGGCAACGTGAAATTCTGAATCCGATCTAAGTAAATGATATATTTCAATTAAAATTGTAAGTCACGTTTATTCGTGACAAAAAGGACATAAAACGCTTTCGTCAAGAAGTCTATTGATTGATACTTGAAATTATTTCTTCAGACGTTTTTGTCAATTGTAGCCCTCGTACTCATATGTTTAAAGTAATTTTTATAACGAAACGTTTTATGTAAAAATTACTTTAAAAGCTCCGTTCAAAAAGAAACTGTTGCGGTGGTGGCAGAAAAAAAGCGTACGTGCGTTAACCTGTCATATATTTTAATAAAACACAATACTTAAAAAAAAATATCAGAAAACTTTGGTATTTGTAAAATAAGTCAGAATATCCACTATGATCTACTGAAACTTTCTATAATCTACTGAAATAATTTTATTGTCCGTGCCATAAATATTTAGTCACGTTTCAAACTTATGTATAAATTATGACATTAATTATTTCGTAATTTAAAATATGCTTCTGAATAGTTTATGTAATTTATTTATTCTTTTTAAATTGCAATTATTTTCATAAAAACATCTTCATAATTGTCTATGACATAAAACCTTATTTTAAATGTCTTTTTTAAATAAAGCGCCCTCTACAATATTCGCTATAAAACCATTATTCTTTCATTTTTATTGGTTGTTAAATCTCTTGTTTTGTTATCTAATTTTACGTTTCAATGTTTTTATTTCAATCTTTTTAAGTTTTATTTATCTTTCACAACTTTTTTTACTAGTAATTTAAACTGTATTTATGTATTTTAGAATACGTAGCTTTAATTTTAGTAATTTTTTAAATTAATTTTCCGTAAAAAAACAGTATTTTGGAATAATTGACACCAGTGTCTAAACCTTGGAGTGTTAAAAAGAAGAGTGAATTTAAAAAAAAGAAACTTAAAGAAATTTGTATGGTATTAATGTATTGTTGCACTTTTGTTTGTAGTATCTGAATGTAAACAAATTAAATTTAGTTCGTTTGAGATTACAAGAATTGGAATGTCAAAATAGTTTAGTGTTGTTTACCTCATGAGTTCTAGGAATTAAACGAGAATATCTTAAAAAATATTATCTATTATTTACCAAGCAACCCTTTTTTTTAGAAAAACATTAAAGTCCTACTTTAAGGACAAGAACGACTTTAAACAAAATATGGTTTTATAATAGTGGAACATTAACAAATATTCCTAAAAATACTGTAAAATAACGTGGAATACACAACAAAATTTGAAACCATTGATCCGAGTAGCGGCGACTCAAAATATATGGGCCTGCAGCAAACAGATAAATGCGCGCCCGCCGTGCCACATATTATTTAATAGTTACTACGTAACAGGTACATAACTCTCATACAAAATCAAAATAAGACGAAGAGAGACGTTGTCGTACCCATCAGGTAGAATAAGGGTTATTTTAATATAATACGAGGAATACGTGATGTGGTCAATGTCTTAATTTTTACTGACTAAAATAATAATGTGACAACCCTACGCTCTCATGGCAGTGTAGGCATGATGCGCCGAACATATTTATCTTATTATACTGTGTTCATATTCTCAGTTTACCCCGTCTGGAGATAGGCGTGATACGTAGATATGTACTACATCGAAACGCTAAACACCCAAATTATGCTAAGATTGTAAACAATTACCAACTTTAGCACACCACCTAAGGAAAAGCTATATCTATCACAAGTTACTATTGGCCAAATTTCCTTCAAAGAATTTTAGCACTAAAACTTGAAGTAGGTAATATTATAATTATTAATACAAAGATCGAACAGTCAAAAAAAAATCCTTCGATACGGCCGGATTCGAACTGACGTCTTCTGGCATACCGTACCAGACTCTATACCAAGCCACGGAACGAACCAGCGGACCTCACGAATTTTTTTATGTGCTTGCGTCATACCTTTGTATTTTTGGTTTTTCAACGACTTTTTAGCCGTAGCGCCATCTATGAGAAATCTATGATATTTCGTCACCCAGTTAGATACCTTTACAGCTACCAGCCCCGGCTAGAGATGTCGCTGTTCATTGTGTTTACATTTTTATTGAATTGATATTCAATTATTTTTAAGTGAAATTTCTCCAGTTTGTTATAATTATTAATACAAAGATCGAACACTCAGAAAAAAATCCTTCGATCCGGGCGTAATCGTAATCAATAGGTAATATTATTTTAAGGTACGTAGCTTGTAGCTTAACAGTTTTGAAATGGTTTTACTGATGTGTTTTCTTAATTATATGATATTTATTTCGAAGGCAATTGAGTCTGTTTTTTTACTTTTTTGAAAAAGAGTGCCTGTTTAGAAGACAGTTCACACTCTTGATGTAAGAAATCCACAGTTGTTTTGCAGATGCAGAATGACAACTTTCCAAAAAAAGGTTTAAAGATTCTAAGAACAAAATTAGTTCATAACTTTTTTATACTTAAATAGAAAAGTTATAAAATGTCACATTCTTGTATTTCAAATTGGCTCATATCTTCATTTTTACAAACATTACGTCTATGTCACTTCTACTTCTTTCACATTTCCGAAAAGGTAAAAAAACTAAGAAACTAGGTCTAGCTTGTATAGTTTGTGATTAAACTTAATTACATCTGGATAGTTAGTGTGACGGTTGCTGTTTCATTATATTAGGTGGGCTCGGCACGGACCCCCGGCGGTCATTACACAGACCCCTTAGGGTTCCAAGAACAACAGGTTAAGAAACCCTAGCCTATAATGATTAAACCTTTTTTTCAAAAATTAATAAAGAAAACTATCTATATAATTTATTGCACACGCAATATGAGAATTTCAAAGATGATATCGTGTTCTTTGATCTTGAGTTCTTGACCCTATTATCAATATTTAGTTCACGAGAAACAAGAAAATACATCAATAAGAACATTCATACCAATTATTAAATCGCAGTTATTTGCTTGTATAAATTATTAAATTCAATGGTTTTGCTTTAAAATATACCTAATTGGACAACGTGAGAAATATTTATATAGTGAAACTATTCATACGTGTACATGTACAAATAAAAAATGTGTGCAAAGAGTGTGATAGCTATATTAGTTATACCAATATTGTGCAGTGCAAAAATCAAAATAGACATAAAGACGGATTCAATTCATGAAGATATAAGAATCAAAGTTTCCGGACACGATAACAAGTTGGTAACTGACAAAGAAATAGCATTATTCAATATTACAAAAGATAATCTATTGCAGGGTATTAGAGTTGAGCTCGGAAGGTCCCCTAAGGATGTTTTCTTGAAGGACCCAACGCCTTATAAAAATTTGTTTAAACGTTACAAATGGGAAGAGGTAAGAAGACATCTTAAAGTAACGAAAACAAAAGTGCTACAAGTAGTTAACGAATACGCTGTTTTAAACGTTCATGAACATATCAATACGGCTTCAAGTTCCATAAATTACACTGCAGCTGTTTTTCAAACCGTCGAAAATACAATTCTTTCCTTTTGGTCAAAATATGGTTTGCCTGAAGACGACATTTTTTACGATATTGGTGTTAGTTTTTACAACAAGATATTCAATTATGAAAATAAATGGCGAAATGATTCTATAAGGACTGTAAACAGTGCTTTCGGTATAAAAAAGGAAGGATTTGCGGAAATTATGCCAGGTCAAACAATTTTAAGTAAATTAACAGGATTAAAGACTATTATACTAATTGAAATTGAATATACAGCCAAATTAATTGGGAATATAATAGCCGATTACGAAGCTTTATATGGGAAATATCATTTCTACTCGCCAACGATTGCCAAGATTATGAAAGCTGCAAATCTGTTGAATGAAGCGAAAACTACGGAATGGATTGAAATAAGGTGTTACACGGAACCTGAACTTCGCATTATCTACAAAGACACTGGATTGGATGTACCTTTTTATTATCCTCGGAAGTTTTACGTGTAGTGATGAATGCGTTATTCTATGCAATACCAAATGATGGGACGAACATGTCGTGCGCCTGGAGTTAAGCGAGCATCTGTCCACAACCGTTGCTGTGCCACTCAGAGCTTTGATTCGTAAAGATCTGATGGACAATGCCACCACGCCCGTCACCCTGAAACATAAGTTGACAAGTCCTATGTGGATGTAGAATACAGGTTCATTTACTGTAGGTTTTTTGGTGATAAGTTAAAAAAATTCAGTGTTAAATTTTTTTTTACTTTAATTTTTTTTAATTTCAAAGCAATGATAATATTAATTTTATTATTCTCAATACGTTATCGCATACCGTTATATCGACTTATCCGAAGAATAAAGTCCGATGTGATTATATAGCGAAAAGAGAATAAGTACGTTACGTTATTCAAACCAAGGCCTATGTAAAGGTGTTTTGAGAATTTATATATCTTATTTCATTTCGGAAATATAAAATCGAACACAGCGACGAAGAATGAACGAAATGTACTATGTCCTGAGAAAAAGTTGTCTTGCACATGGATCTTTGTTCTACGGATGAGTCGATATATGTAATGACCAAAAAATTTACTATGCCAAAATTGCTTTCACAAAAAGACTTAATGGTTACTAAGACAGTTTCCTTGTATCTTCTATGATTTCGGACTTCCCCATATTGTCCCTTTAAAAAAACTGTTTTAATAAAAAAAATTAGATTGTATTTTCGTCTTTTTTGTTATTTTGATCGATATAAGGAACCATTTCCTACATGGGTTTGTAACGATGATAATTCTTATCGGAGTACAAATACTTTTTAAGAAGCATCTTGTCTGTGTTGTCGAATAGCGTCTAAGTAAAATCATGTCGATGTAACATATTGTCGGTGTAGCGAAGTCTCTGAGTAAAGTAACGTCGATGTAACATATTGTTGGAGTGGCGTGTGACGAAATTCAGTTTTAGAGTAAATAAAGCCAAATGCTGCTACGACATACAATTATCCAAGTTTTCAACAAAACTCGATCTGCAGCTTAGTTGGAAGAGCAATAGGGACTGTCGAGTCGAAGGAATTTTTCTTTGCGTTCGATCTTTGTATTGTATAATATAGCAAACTTGTGGAGTTATTTCATAAAATAAAGCAAAATTAGATAAATTTGTACAATTGTATATTTACAAAGAGCAACCCTTAAAGTTGAATTGAATTTAGAAGTACTCAATAAGCTAAAGAAAAAGGTGGCCTATATGAACAAAATTACACGAAGGAACATGTCGTACGTCGGCTATGTAATAAGGAAGAATAAGTACAAATTACCGAGTTCTTAGGTTTTCGCAATTGTTACACATAGGAAATAAAACAATTTTTCCGGATTTAAATCGCGTATATTTGTTTTTTCAAACAAACCGACGTTCAACCAGTTCAAACAGTCAACCGTGACCATGGGACCTGTAAAGGGCCCGAAACGTCGGTTTGTTTGAAAAAACAAATATACGCGATTTAAATCCAGAAAAATAGTTTCATTTCCTAAGTACAAAATCAAAGATAAAGATAAAGATAAATTTATTTCTGTATAAAATATTAACCTAAATACATACATAAATCTTATTAAATAACCTATTATTTACATATATGCGCCAAATTGTCGCAAACAATGAAATTATTTTATGTTAACATTACTTTAATTAAGGTTAGTAGTACAAATTAATCTAGGTGATACCTAAACTAAGTAAAATTGTTTACTTGTGTCTTAGGTATCTAAATTGGTGATTGTAGCATAACGGTTAGTCAACATATTTTGTTCAATAACAATAAATTACAATAATACATAAATCTTAATTATAATAGCTGGCGTCTTAATTATATTTATATTACTTAAAAACTGATATAAAATTTTCAGTGTCATTGTAGTTAATTCTTTTTAACCAGTCTTGTACGGTTTTTTTACATTGAAACTTATTCATAGGATATATAGATAGAGAACGATTTATTTTATTATACAAATGGCTACCAAGAAAGCAAAAGAATCTGTGGGAGTGTTCAGTTCGAAACCGTTCAATTGAACAAACAATGTCTGCTCGTCTTTTGCTGGTTTGGAGTGATGGGATATATGGTGTTAGTGAATGCTTTTTTATTACGGTAAGTAGTATGAATAGCTGGGGTATTGAAAGTACATCACATTTAGCAAGGAGTTCTGCTGTGGGAAAGCGAAAAGGTCGGACGGTGCTAACTTTCAGAATGGCTCTTTGTGCTCTTTCTAAATTTAGCAAAGTATTTTTATGGGAGCCTCCCCAAGTCGTTATGCAGTATACAAACAGTGATTGACAAAGTGATAAATATACAGTTTTCAGTAGCTTTTCATTGGCGACATGTCTTAAATTTTTGAAAATATATATTAATTTTCGTGCTCTAGCTGTAAGGCTTTCGATATGGGCCTTGAAATTTAAATACTTATCAACTGTTATACCTAAATATTTAATGGTGTTTGTACTGCTTAGTTGAGGGCATTTACAAGTACTTTCAGATAGCGAGCCAAAACAGTTATGAGCTAATATTGTACATGAATTTAAAGTCGGTTGGGTGAGTGAGTTATAGGAAAACGTCATGTATTTAGTTTTTTCGGTATTTAGGGTCAGTAAGTTTTTTTTTTAAGCCAATTATTGACAATGTCAAAGCCCGCTTGGGCTAATGTGAAAGTGTCAGTCCAATTTTCAGCACTAAACAATAAAGCAGTGTCGTCAGCATAAGATATTATTTTACTATTGTTTGGTAGGGGGATGAGGCATAAATCATTAATAAAAATGAGGAAAAGCAATGGTCCTACGATGCAGCCTTGCGGGATGCCATATTCGACGGTCAGTTCCTCACTTACAGTGTCACCTATCTTAACGCGTTGAGTCCTGTCAGTTAAATAACTTTTTAGAAGATTATGTGCATGTCCTCTTATTCCTAAGCTGTATAATATTTCAAGGAGAATTGGAATTGAGACTGTATCAAAAGCCTTTGCGGGGTCTAGGAATATAGCCAAGCACTTTTTTTTTGAGTCTGTGTTTCTTACAATGTAGTCTGTTAGCTCATGCATTACATCATCAGTCGATTTGTTAGTTCTGAAGCCGCATTGTGTAGGTGCCAGTAGTCTGTTCTTTTCTAAGTACTTTATTAGCCTGTCATAGATAAGTCTTTCTAGGATTTTAGAAATAGACTATAGAATGGGGCTATAGTTATTAAAGCAACTCTTATCTCCATTTTTATGGACCGGTCTGATAAGGGCCTTTTTTAAAATATGGGGAAATATTCCTTTTAAAAAGCACTGGTTGAATAAATATGTAAGTGGAGGTATTAAATGTTGCTTGAATGTCTTAATGAATGAACAGGGTATTTCGTCAATTCCAGTTGCACAGTCATTTCTCAATGTCATAATAATTTTTTCTACTTCAGATTCGTCAGTATCAAATAGGGCAAAAGAATGCGAAATAGCCATGCAGGAATGATGCTGGGTGTGACATTGATAATTATTGCTGTGAAGTTTCGCCTTTTCCGCTAAATTTCGACCAATATTAGCAAAGAAATTATTTGCGGAATTAACTAAAATTGCTGCGGTAGTTGTATTTGCAATCAGCTGATGTGCTGACCAATTAATGTTATTGATAAGATATGATAAGAGGGAGAACGGTAAATGGCCACTATCGCGGTATCGTTTCCAATCTTCGTAATGAGGCAGTTACCATCTACAATGGCGGGTTCCTCTGTTATAATATTAGTAATTGTACTTATTAATACAAATATTGAACACTCAGAAAAAACACTCAGAAAAAATTCCTTCGATCCGGTCGGATTCGAACCGACGTCTTCTTGCATACCGTGCCAGACGCTATACCAACTAAGCCACGGAACGAACCAACGGACCTCACAAATTTTTCTATGTGCTTGCGTCGTGTCTTTGTACTTGGTCTTTCAATGACTTTTTAGTCGTAGCGCCATCTATGAGAAATCAGAAAAGAAATTAGTAATTGTTTTTTTAATATATAAAATAACACCATCATTTTGTAAAATATTAGTTTTTTTAGTAGAATAAGAGTCATATCCAGCTAGTTGGGGAGTGTAGGAAGCAAAAGATAACCAGTATTCAGTTAAAACAATTATATCGATATCAATATTAATCTGACTTAATAAGGTTAACAAACTATTAAAATTACAGTTAATGCTACGGATATTTTGTGACAAGATATTATGGCTGCAGTTGATATTAGGAATGATTGTGGAACATTGTTCGGGGTCACACGTAAAAGATTCATATTCTAAGGAAGTGTCTAGGTCATTTACAAAATCGTTTGTTACATTACCCATCCTGTGCTATATTGTCTTCCTGTGCGGCGCTCTAGGCGCCCTCATAATCTATGGAATTTGAATATCTGGCTTCAGCACTTTTTCTCGCTGGGCACAGCGCATCTCCCGTCCTACGTTGGCTTGGTTTATTGTACCGCTGACAAGAAGCGCATTAAGGTGGATCCTGCAGTTTCGAGCAATCTTTAATTGTATGACCTACGCAACCGCAGTGGCCACAAGTAGAGTCGGTGTCTCTACAGTATTTTGCGGAATGTCCATACTGCTGACATTTATAACATCTAGTTACGTTCGTGAAGTCCCTAACGGGGCAGTATGTCCAGGTTATAAACACGCGCTTCTGTTGGATTACCATTTTTCTCGTATCTGCAGGTACTTCCAATATAAAGTTGCAATATGATGAGTCCTTTTTTCCAGATTTGTGACTGAACTTGATTGAGTTAAAAACTTATCACGTTGCACGTGTGGATATTTGTCAGATATGTTCTGCTCAAATAGGCACTCCAGCACCTCCTTCTCAGGAGTAGAGGCATCCCTAATAATATAATTTAGGTCTCTTTTTAATTTTATCCTCTATTTTTAGGCCTGAATTTTTCAGTTGCTCCGATTACTTCAGCTTCTCGAGGTCATCTTACCCTTCAGCACTGATTACGATACCTCCGTCTTTAGTTTTTCTCATGCCTCGGATGTGCAACTTCAGTTCTTCGGGCTTAATTATAGTTTGAATGAGCTGTTTCGTGTCCTCGCTTGACTTCTCTTTATTTGTCGGGTAAACAATAATGCTTTTGGTGCTGGATGGACGTAGAATTGAGTTGTTCCCCTTTTTAAGAATGTCGGCAAAGGATGTATTCTGTGCTGCCATATTTGGAGCCGATCGTATGCATTCTTTCAAATCTACAAGATGGTCTTTTATTTGGACCGAGATTCCTTTCTAGTCGTTATAATTTTGGATAACAATTTGCGACGAAATATATTTTTGCTTCAGGGACTGGTATTTTACGGCTAACTACGAAACTCCCCCCATAACGCTTCTGCTTAAGCTGCTTATTTTTAATTTTTGTTCTGAATTGAGCTTACCATCATTAGAAATGCTGCATATTTCATTCAGGCATCGCTCGATTGTAGTTAGCCACTTCTCTATTTCTG